GTTCACTCTCTAAATGAAAATTTGTTGTGGTATGTATTTGTACCATTGCGATGGTATACTGTCATCTCCATCGTGTCTATCATTTTGTACATGTATGCTTTGATCCACTAAAATTTATGTTACTAAAATCCAAAAAAATAGTCATATACGATAATCCCTATTGTAGAAATGCACTAAAATAGTTCATGCTGCCCATCCACCATGACACATTCAGCATTTCCCTAGCATCAACACGGTTTTTAAGTAAACACATAAAATTGTTGAAAACTAGCAAGATTTATTCCTTCTAGGAAAAGAACATACTGAACAATATATCAGATTACACATAAAAGGACAATAATGATATCTCACTCCTAACTTCATAATACCTACAGTTCTTTCAGTTGCCACACGAAATGTCCCTGGAATCGAAATCCCTCCCCCACCTCCCATAGTAATGCCATCCAATAAAGAAACCTAAACATCATCATAATAAGTAACTAAATATCACCAGCAAATAGTCACAACTATTAAAAGAGATGTCACAGAATTTCGTAAAGAGAACCATTTGTCACTAATTCTAAATAGATGATTAATAATATTACCAACTAATGATTCCTTTCAGTTGTATGCATACCGGTATGAACTCTCTATAATTGTAATTCTATGGTTATTTATTAATCATCTATTTTAGAATTAGTGACAAATGACTTCACCCTACTCTTGTAATTACATATACCTAAAAAAGTGAATCATTTTAGCATTGAATCCATGAAACAAAAAGCTATCAATGAAGCAGCAACAATATAAGAATGTGTTAATAATGGAAGGATGAAAAATAACATTGAAGGCAAACTCTCACAATCTACGAACTCAGGTATTGCAAGTAAAGAAATGAAGCTAGGGTTCAGTCCCATGAAATATAACTTGATTTAAGAAACTTTTTTATACATTTAACTATTTCGCTTTAATTGTATAATTGCTTTACAACTCCAAATTTTACATCAAACCATCAGAATTACTGGTTGCTGCCCCCTCGACAACATTTGATTTAAGAAGCTCTGAGACATAATCAATTATGAACTTATGGAATGGTTTACATGGGCAGGTAGGAGGGACAATGACAGGACTAGAATTTTTCAGATTCAAGCATAGAGGTGTCACCCAAGAAAGGATAGTGTAGGTAAGGAAGTGCCCTGACTAAGTAATATTCACTTGGTCTATGTCAGGACAAAATCCTCACAGGTAAACATCTAAAGCATAGAGAGTCAATAGTTTCCAAAAACATTATACTGAGAATGAGAATATGGGGATTTCTGATATCATAAAGCAAAGTAGCTCAACTTAACGAATGTCTATTATAGAAATCATTTAATAGTATGTAATTTAATTGAGAATGAAAATTAAAAATATTACAACTAAAACATACAGGCACATAACAATGGCCCAACTCAATGGTAAGCTAATAGCATGCATAGCTATAGAAACTCATCAAATACAAAAGACATCACTTTCAGTTTTCTTAGCTCTAATGTCCAAGTTAGAGATTTTTCCTTTTTGACTGTAAAAAACTTTTTTCCTTGGCAAATATGACCCTAGAAGAGGAGAATAGAATTGGATCTCTTTTTAAGGGGAAAAAAAAGGATATATTTATTGATTCACATTACTGATGATTAATTAAGTAGTATAGGGAGTCATTTATCCCTAACAGACAGAGGATCTATGACAGAAATTCCCCTAGCCAAACATCTGTGCACATGTATATCAACTAGACAAACTTAAGCATATAAGAGATTTTATTCTACCACAACCCATGTCTAACTTCTTTTCTGCTTATCCAAAATGTTTCTTATCGTCATAGACAGGACAAAGATGTCAAACCTTCAAACGATAATTTGTGGAAATTAGAAGCTTTCATTTTATCTGAACTATAACATCGATCAATACTTTATCATGATTCCTCAAAATAATAATACCTTCATCTCAAAGTGTCTCATGAAAACGACAAGGAGTTAGATGAAACTTTTAAGGAGTCAAGCTCTTGACTTTTGAATTATAGTTAGCATTCTGACAGAATCATATAGTTAAAGCACAAAAGAAATACAGTAAAAAACAAAATAATAAAACTTGGTCTAAATGAGAGCTTGGAACTGATAAGCTTTGCTTAGTGTTCAATAATTGCTGGAGGAAACACTCAAAAAAACCAAAAGAGATTTATATTTTCCTTAATTGGCTAGGCACAAGTTGAGGAAACCTAACAACTTTCAAGTTCTTAAACAATGAACCTTTTCTTAAAAAATTATTATAAAAATGATTACCACCAAATGTTACCTTAGCTTCAAATCATGATTAAAAAGATAAACAATCAAAGTGGATCTGGACGGAACACATGAAAGGAGACAATTGCAATAAAATGTTCCTAAAATAATCCCCAAGATATCTTGATACTCACATGAGGCTTTAAGTATGTTCCAACAAGGTACATAAATCCATATGACTTATAAAAGAACTCCTTACATTCTTCTGTTTTCCCTGCATTGTGAAAGGGGCAAAAACTACATATTACATGCATTCATTCAATAGACAAGTAACTAAATATTACATTCATGCATTCAACAGACAAATAAAGACATAAAAATATGAATAGCATATGGAAGGTACAGTTGAGTGTAATTTTACTCTAAAGTTTCAAGATTGCTCTATTGCAACAGTTTATATTTTTTAGAAACAAACCCAAACACGTTCATAACATGTAATTCAACGCATTTCATCAACATTTTTATCTCTATCATTTTCAACAGAAATGTCCCATACCATGCACAAGTGCCCATGCATACAGAAATGTGCACATTTGCACAGGCACGCAAATACATTCTTGCATGATTAAATTCATATATAAGGCAAATATGGTACCTTGACTGCATGGTAACAGTCATGGTTTCCAGAATCACTCAAGTGATTGACTGCAAGTGCAGGCAATGAATCCTGATCCCTCAATTTCCAAGAGAAATATCTATGATGCATGGACATGCATGACAAGGCAAAATCTGAGATGTCAACATCCAATTGCACACCTTAATTTAGTGGGAGTAAAAAATTTGATAATATTCTTTCACTCATTTATTGCTTTATATATCTTTTCATTGAATTATGTATTGGAAAAAGTTTATATAAGGATGCTGCCTTATAATGTAGAACCACGGATGCCCCTCAAAAATCCATCGGAAAAGGTATTTTTAATGTTGAAAAACCCTTTGATTGATCATCTCGACATCGAGATGTATTGCTATGAAAAATAAAAAGATTTTAAGGCTCAAAAATAGTGCATTTTACAACATATTATCTACACCGTCCATTTTCAAGATTTTCATATGCTCATAGAACTACTTGATTTTAAC